GTTCTGCCCATTACCTTTGTGGCCACTGGATTGTTTTATTTATTTTGCCAAACTTTATTGTTCTTAAACAGTTCCATGTTTGTTCAAGTCTGTGAACAAAGTGGAAGGATGAAGCTTGCTTACTTAGTTGTCTATTTATTGGTATTGAATAACACAATTTATATCACTAAATGTGAAATAAAAATAATACCATACATACTGCAAACTATGCAGTAAGCTTACTTGGATTTTTCCTATCAGTATTAACCAAAAATATCTTACAATACAGATAATTTCAAAGGACACTTCAGCTTCAGCACTGCAAATCTAGGTGAGAGAGGGAAAGTTTCAAAGGATGTGGGTTTGAAGGACACTTTGCAATAGGCCTGGATTTCAGACTTACAATGTTGTGAGGCCACTCACCACAGCAATGGAATTAAAAACTAAAGAAGCAAATCTTTCACTTGGCTTGGTTGTGTCCAAGAAGTCTCAACTATAACCACATATCAAAAGGCAAAGAAGCATCTTACATAAAATGATACTGCAACAAGTTGGCCTACTTCTAGCTTTTTGCTTATCTAAGGGCGACTCTAGTCAAGATTAAGAAAAATTCTGTCTGAATGTTTGGTTATGGCTAGAAGTGGAATACAGAGAGTAGAGACAAAAACCCAGCGCTGTGCACCTGGCTCTGGTGAGACAGATCCAAGAAAATAGTATTTGATTTCAGGGAATGGGAGCTGTTACAAAGAAAACCTCAAAGAAAAACTTTATTCTCCAAGAGCGTGAAGGCATCTACTAGCTGCTAGGAGAGCAGTGGGCTGTTCTGGCATTTGCAGAGATGGCTGGTCATCTTGGTTTTGTAAGCCAAAGCCACAACGCCTTATATAGAGTACACAACCTGTACAGAGATAAGGGGCAAGGGCAACCTTACATCTGTACAAGGAGGTAAACAGTATCTATTTGGGCAAGGCTTGAAAAGCTCCAAGTTATTAGAAACTGTATGAGTATAACACATCAGTGGGATCCTAGTGCTTGGTGCCTCAAAGGTGTATATTTATAAATAGCAGACACTTTGTAAATCTCTATGATTATTTCCTAGCAAAGAAACTGAGCTTGTGCTGGCAACTAATGGGATTCCCCTGCTTAAGAACAGGAGACCATGAAACAACACTGACATGTTCTGTCTCAAATCTTACCTCGTAGTGTGCTACTCTTTGTGATTCAAACTGTAGCACAGCCCCACAAATGCTACAAAACGTGTCTGTACAAAGTTCTTTTCTTGTCACTTCATCCAAAGTATCATCTAAAGTGAACGGTTAAGGGTACAGCATCAGTTACCAGAACACAGAGAGCCACTTATTTATGGGAATCACATGATAATATAAGAGAACCTGTCCCACCTACTACATGCCTTATCTACCTCTGATACCTCTGATACCTGTTTTTAAGCTACACAAACCACCTGGTATGTCCTGGGTATGGTTTCTTTCTGGCAAAAGGGGAAAAAATTCTGAAATTTCCATCTCCTAAGTCAATCTAAGCTTCTACCCTTATGTTTTAGAGATAAGAACATGGAGCTTGTACTCTTATCACCAAATGCTGGGGAGGGGTTTAAACTAGACATGTCTAAGCGATTTACAGCTGTAAGCTCATTGCCCCCCAACAGCTGGATACTCATTTTAACAACTGCGGAAGGATGCAGGCCTGAGTCAAGCCTGAGCCCTGGCTAGTACTGAACTCGCAACCTTGTGGTTTATGAGTGAGTGGCTGCAATACAGGCATTTAACCACTGCACCATCTCTTCCATGTAAATGAAGAATCCATAGGATCATTTTTCAAATATGAATATGCATAACCTGCTCAGTACGGGTCATTGATTTTTACGTGATGCAGATGCAGATGCTCTAGTGTGTCCAATAATTTTCAGGCCATACTTGTGCCTCTCAGTCATAGGCATTTTTGCTTTTGTGAGGGTGAGAAGCAAAGAGAATAAAGCAGAAAGTACAGCTGGAAAGAAGGCAACATTATCCAAACTATAAAAAAAAAATAATTCAGGTTCAATACCTAACTCACGGCCTGTGTGGCTGCATGTTATAAGGAAAAGTCTTTGGGAATATTTCAAAGCAGACAATATTTATACAATTGAGATAAAAGGTTTAGTTGTTAAAATGAAACAATTTTGGGAATAATACTATATTTAGTTGTAAATATAACTGCTGTATATTAGCATGTGTTAGTGAACAGATTTCTGCAATCACTGAGGAAAAATGTAAAAAACATCTGTGAGAAAGTTGACTTAAACCAATAGCACAAAGACTAAGTATAAAAAGGGGACTCTGCTCTTCAATGTGTTCAGTTCTAATCAGAAATGTGTCCGACTACTAACCACAGAGCATCGATTTTTTCTATCTTGTGAAGAAAATCTATTTTATCCAGTAACTACCATCCAATGCTACTTGAAAATTTTGGTTATTTACAGCCTGATTTTATATATATTAACTCAGAAGGGAGTGTCAATATGTTCAAGGGGACTTGCTTCCAAATAAGCCTGTACAGGCTGTAGCCTTGGGACTCAAATCAGACATGATGTCAAACTAGGGATACATTTCTTTGTTCATTTCATTCTTGAAGGAGGCAACAAGTAATTTTAGCAATTCATTTCCACTACAAGAAAGGTGTCAAAAACACTCCAACTGCAGAAAACTGTGCAGATTTCACATATTTTTTTGGCCACAGAAAACACAATTTCTGTGCAGAAAACAGAATTTTGCATTCTGCTGTATGCAATATGTCTGTGGGGAGAAGAGATCTGGATTAAGGCTGTAACATGGAAGTAGGGAGATTTAAACCATTGACCCCACTGTGATCCTGAGCCAGACCCCTCTGCTTCAGCTGATATATTTGCCTAGAAAGAAAGTTGCCACTGGGATGGTTAAGAATATTTTAATCGTTTCTTTATGTCTGAGTGTTCAGAATGCATATGGATGTGAAAAATATGAAATGCCTCCCAATACTTATCATGACCTGGGTAAAGCTGGTACTCAGTCAAAATGCATGTCAGGCATCCCCAGTATATCAAATGTAGTCCTAGTGGCACCCATAATCCACAGGAACATGAAGTAACTATTTTGTGAATTGAGCGGTGACCCAGGTATACAGCTGACAGTGAGAGTCTGCCAAACAATTCCCTTCAAATGGATGAGATATTGCTATAAATCATTGCATTAATACACAGGTGGTTCCTCTTGGAGGTCTTCACTACTGACAAGAGTGGCAGTTTCTGAGCACTGTTTTTGAGGCGTTACTGAATACAGGACCATTTGTTGATCATTAAGTTCACAGAAATACACCCTCTGGTCCAAAACACACTGCAGAAATAATCTGGTTTGAGACTGCTTTAACTGGCCTGGTTCAGTTCTAGGGAATTCTGGGAACTAGTTTTGTGAGACATTTAGCCTTCTCTGTCAGAGAGCTCTAGGACCACAATAAACTACAGTTCCCAGGATTCCCTAGCACTGAGCCAAGGCAGTTAAAGTGGTCTCAAACAGTGTGTTTTGGACCTACGTGGGGTATTTCTTCCTATTAGTTTGAAAAACTACATCTCACAAACAATGGAGTGGTGAAAGCCCTGAAAGTGTCAGCAAAATGTTTCATAGAGAGCTGGACAATGAGGCTAGAGACTTTGGTACAGCAGAAGCCATGGGGCCAAAGAGAAATCCATATTTTTCAAGTTTTGCTTCAAGGTTTTTATCCTAGAATTGTTAGGTTTTTATCCTAGACTTTAAGAAAATCACAAGGAAGCACTATATGTGCTTATCTGTCATATATGTCCACCACACCATACATGTCTACAAAAACAACCTTGCTTCCAACCTGAAGACAAAGCTTAAACTTTTGCCAGGGCTCCATTTCCCCCACAAATCTATTCACACAGTACATTCCTAAACCACTGTTAAAAAATATAAAATGCTTTTGCTGACTATTCTGATGGGTCAGATCTAGTTTCCTTGAGTAACTACTGCAAGATAAAACCCACCTAAATACAGTATTATGTGGATTTTTAAAAAATCCATCATGAGACAAAACAATTCATAGGTAAATGCAGCAAAGTTACAAATGGTGGCTGCAAATATAACCTAGTTGCAACATGAAGGATTTTGGCAACAAAAATCAGTTGAAGTCAAGATTGAGACTTAGCAGTATCAACATCCAGAAGTATCAGCAAATAGTGTTGTACCCATCAGCTCCTGCAACACTATTATGTTAAACCATGATGTCCTCATCAGCTTAATACTTCCAAACAAGTTGGCCAAGGAAAGCACTTTTTAACCTGCCAATGCTTAATTCAAATCTTGGTACTCACAGCTGAACTCAGTTCCTTTACAAAGAGTTTTGCAGAGGCTGTGAAGGAAAGCATGTCTATCCTGATGAAATTATTATACCACCAGTCCTCACAGATTCTCAGATTCTGGTATGACTTCTGCTTGGAGATCCCAATAGGGTCTTGCTGTCAGCTGCACCATTTTCTACAACAGAGCATTCTGTGGGAAATATTGTGGCTTACTAGTTTCTAGGTCAGACTTGTTTTACAAACTTGAAGAACTCTACCAGTCAGCAATCCTCGGAGCAAAGTGGATGTTCCCTCTTGATTGGAAAATTTACTGCCTATAATGCACAAACTCAATTTTGTATCTTCAAGGGGATATTCAGTATTTACAAATAAGTATAGTCTCTAATTTGGGTGACTGTGGTTTGGGGAGCAATTTATACACACTGAAAAACAACCTATGAAGCTGCCACAAAGGAATTACTGCTTTAGAGGCCAAAGGAGGTCTTTTAGAAAAGTTTGACAAAATTGTACTTTTATGTGTTGCCGTATGCCTTTGAGTCATTTCTGCCTTAATGGAAACCCTAAGGTGAACCTATGGTGGGGTTTTCTTTGCAAGATTTGTTTGGGGCAGTGTGCCTTTGACACCCTCTGAGGCTGAGAAAGTATGATTTGCCCAAGAGCAGCCAGTTGGTTTCAACGGTTAAGCTGGGAATCGAACCCTGGTCTCCAGAATCGTAGTCTAACTCGGACCACTACATCACACTGGACACCAGATTGTTATATATGATTTCTTACTCGAAAGAAAGAAAAACCAGTATACTAGGGTTGTCATGACCTCGGGTGATACTTCCTTCAAAGGCAGGAATACAGCAGCCATATCTGTGCTGTCTTCCCCATTATTCTCGCTTCTGTAGCAAGCAGGACTTCTTTATCGCATAGCAACTAAGGGAAGAGGATGGTCATAACAATTTGTGGAAGATGTGTGTGGGCATGTGACTGCAGTAACTGTTCAGATCTACTGCTTCAAGACAATGTTCTTTCACAAATAGTTCAGGTGAGATGATAAAAAGGACACAAATGCAGAAAGTATGGTGCAAACTAACAGAGTCTGATTGGTAGGTAGTTTGTTAACAGTTAGCGTTCAGCCTGTTTGAGACTAAAGCCAGCTAAAGCATAAAGCAGCTTTCCCTTGGACACCCTCTAAGAGGATTTAAAGATTAGAGTAGCTTTCCCTTGAACACCCTCCAACTTTTGGGACACCAAGAGTTTTGGTTGACAACTTCCATCATTTCTCATAACTGATCATGCTAGCTGGGGCTGATGTAGCCCAAAACCTCTGGAGCTCAACAATTTGATGAAGAATGGGCTAAAGGATAATGTTCACAGTTTGGGAATGCTAATAGATAAAGCCATGGACACTGAGGAGACATCGGTGGCATGGAACATCTTTTGCTGCCTGAGGCTGATGGTCCAACTGCAACTCCTCCTGCACAGAGGAGTCTGGCTATGATTTTCCAAGTTGGCCTACAGCAATGCAGTGTGCACAGAGGTGTCTTAGAAGAATGTCAATAAGCATAAGCCATGGTTGAAAGTATAGCTGCTATGATATTGTGACTGGTCTTTGGCTACATATCTCATCTTTGCTTAAAAAGCAATACGGGCTGGTGGTTCGTTTCCAAGCCCATTCAAAATGCTGGCGCCTACATTTAAAGCTCTCCACAACACAAGAACTGTTTATTTGAAGAAATATCTGTTTGTACTGAATAGGTTCATGTATTCAGATCACTTTCAGAGGCCCTTGTCTGTGTCTCCATTCCATTTAAAGAGGTAGGTGGACCTGTGGGTGGCAACTGGGAAAAGATTTCCTTGGTAGGGCTCCATTTCTGAATTTCCATCTCCAGAGAGGCTTGACAAGTTTTCACTTTAAAGAACTAAACAGAAACCTCAGGAACATCTGGTTTTTCTACTGCTTATTTTATTCTATTATTTTAATAACAGTTGCCAGTCGTTTCTATTCATCTTATAAATCATTGTGAAATTATATAATGAAGGATAGTTATAAAGCTATAAAAATAAACTAATAAATTTAAAGGAACAGGCAAGAAGCTGGAAGTGAAGCATAACTCAATCTATACTGCATGCTTCACATCTCAATTAGGTTTCCTCTTTTATTATAGTATATGCTATCTCAAACAGCAAAAAGGTCTCACAGTGCAATCCTATACTTGTTTCCTCAGAATTAAGTACTGCTGAGTTGAAGGGAATTCTCTCTTAAATGTGTATAATAGGGGTAGGCAACCTAAGGCCCGGGGGCCGGATGCGGCCCCCTGAGGCCTTTGAACCGGCCCCAGGCCAGTCTTGCTGCCGCTACTGCCCTCCATGATGATATTGATTATTGTTGTTATTACTTGTTCTTGGGGTTTTCTTGGCAAAATCTCCACAGGGGTTTTGCCATGGTTTTTCTGGGGCTGAGAGAGTGTGCATGCATATTTTTAAATTTTTTAAAATAATTAATTTTTATTTATTTGTTTATTTATTTATTTTTGGTGCTTCGGCCCCCCAATTGTCTGAGGGACAGCAACCCAGCCCCTGGCTCAAAAAGGTTGCCTACCCCTGGTGTATAAGATTATAACCGTAAACCCTATTTCTGTGATTACATGTATATTACTGGAACCAAACACATGGTGGAGCTGCTGACTGGAACATACGCAGAATGATCTAATGATGCAACTGGCAAGACAAAAGCTCATCCACAACACAGCAGCATTCACTGTCTTTAGTTAATCACTTAATTAGAATTTTTGATCCAACAAAAAAATGATTCTAGCCAGGCACATATTTTCCAAAAATACATTAAAGAAGCACCACATCTCCTCCATGCCCCTCAAACAGGAAATGCCCTTTTCAAGACGATGCTTTGAATGCGTAATTTAGAAATGAAATGGGACTGTCTTCACAAGTATTGCACTAGTATTATGCAGATTTTGAATAATCATTCAATTAAATATAATTTCTTTAATTGGTCAATAATAAGTTATATTTTTAATTATTTTTTAAGGTGGGGGTTAAGATATATGACTTATGTATTGTATTGGTTTAACATGTAAGCCACTACTATAGTAGAAAAGCAGGATACAAATAAAAGTTTTATTTATATATTTAATTTATTTAAAAAGGGATGAGGAGGGCAAGTTCATATCTCTGGGATGCATACAGCATTGAACTTCTGGGCAAATAGCACTTGTTCATATCTCTGCCATTAGGCAAATGCAGTGTGAACAAACTCAGCTGTAGCAGTGGCACTTTTTAGAACCGCTACCAAGACTAAAGCTTTTATGTGCACAACAGTAACAGGGAGACACTGGTTTACAAAGCCATTAGCTTTTTGTGTTCTTGAAGTAACAGTATGGGGCTGCTTTTCTATGAAACAGTCTTGAATTCAGCATATAATATGTTTCTATCATATACTCACATACTAGTCAGCTGGAACTGAGATGCTTACGTAACATTTGCATACACATACAAATGACCTGCTTCACAAAACAGGCTTTACATGGAACAGATTTAGAGTTGGGGTGAGCAAGTTGGACCAGCTTTGCCTTGAATTAGCTCATAAATGGGCTCAACTTCTTCAAGAAAAATGCAAGCTATCAGATCATTCCTCATCAGTCCAAAAATGCTGCCCCATCCCCACCAACAATCTCCAAATTACACAGGAGAGCACTATGGGGTTTATGCTGGGAAGTGAGAGGGAAAGGCAAGATGCAACTAGGCAACTGGACTACTCCCCCATCCCCCCCATGATTTGTTACTTACAAGTAACATATTGAAATTAGTGAAAACATTAGGGAAAGAACTAAAATGCTTAAGCTTTTTTACTGTTGGGTTGTTTCTATAACCACATACTGTATACGTAAGAAAGTTTTCAACCTTTGAGCAGTGTAATGGTCAAAAAGAAAATTTGCATGAGACTGTGATACCACTTTTCTGAACAAGAACAGTTTTTCCTGATCAAGGAAGGTGAGGGGCTACACTTTAGTAGCAGAGGGCCTACTTTCAATGAATGAGGTTCCTGGTTCAATCTCTGACCGCTCCAATAAACTTATCTCAGACAGTGAGTTGGAGACCCTCTGAAGATTCTGGAAAGACATGGCCTTTCAGTGTAGATAGCATTAGGCCAGATGAACCAGTAATTTGATTATTTAAGGCAGATTCTTACGTAAGAAACCCCTCCACCTCTTCCAGTGTGAAATGTATAATCCTGAAAGCATAGCAAATGAACTGGTTTTCAATCAAAACCTATTCTTTTGATTGAGAACCAGTTCATTTGCTATGCTTTCAGGATTATACATTTCACACTGCAAGAGGTGGAGGGGTTTCTTACATAAGAATCTGCCTTCAATCAAAACCTATTCTTTTGACTGAGCTGTGAAATCAAGCACGTATTAGGAGAAGACAATTATGTGCTAATCCTGAACTAAAGATTGTTTGATCCAGATATATAACATGGCTGGAATAAAACTTCAAAATGGAATAGGCCCTCTCCCTCTTTCTCACTTCCACTACATCTTACAGCTGTCTACAAGACTTGACATCACATAACTTAGAATTACAGACTAAATAAAATGTTGCAAGAATACTCATTTCACAATCCCATTCTCTTGGGGCCCAGTTAACATGTGACATCTGTATTCACATGAATCTTTAAAATACATTAAAAGATGGGAGTAGCCTTGTCCCAGTAACAAACAGTGAGCCCAACTATACCTCCCCCTCAACATCTGTATGACACAGGAGGAAAGCTTTCCTCCCATATCAGAAACATCTGGGGAGGAGACCCTTTCCTTGGGACTATGGCACATTTAGAAAGAGTTCACCAGCTCCCTGCATGGTAATTATGCCACAGCCCTGCTATTTAATATTGTGCAAGGATTTGTGCAACTGTATGTGGCACAGTTTGTTCAGCTTCACAATATGTTTGTAGAATGTGTAGAAGAAACTAAGATTACATGTAACAGAGGATCAAACTGTGGCTAAGATCCTGTTGGCTCTGTTGGCATATTTATACTGTCAGCATGGGGCAAAAGCAGGAGCACAGTGGCAGGGAGGAAAGGTGGGGGGAGAAGTCAATTATAAGGTCAACAACGGGATGATGCTTCTGGTTCTGAGTTCCACATTTTGTCAATGCCTCTTTTCCAGGGTGTGGGATCCTGAAAGTATCAAGTCACCACTCTCATTGCAAACTAGCTAGGAGGACATTACCCCTCCAATGTCCCTCTGGGAAGGCATGCACTGCTGAAACAGGTGGCTTGGAACTAATAGCCTTCCATTCCTGCTGCCTCTTCCTCCCAGAACAAGACAGGAGAAAGTGCAACTGCTCACACAATGGACTGCTACATGTTCAGTGGAAACCAAAAGGATTCCAGTCTGCATGTATAAGGAAAAAAAATAGCAGCTTATTTCAGAAAAAAAAAATCTTGACAAGAGTAATTGGTGTCTTTTATAAGGAGAAAATATAACTGTAATACAGATGTGAAACCATGGCTAGAGGTACATTATACTTTACTTCATTATTACATATGATGTAAAATGGCACAAGTCAACTTCCAAACAGAAGAGCTGGATTGTACAGTCGCCCCTCCGTTTTTGCTGACTTCAAGTCCATGTCCCTCACCTGTTTGTGGGCAGCGAATGGAGGGGGACACAATGGGGCACCTGCCCATGCCCCCTCAGGGTGCGCGCCTCCATCCAAGCCAATGGGGCTTGA